CTATGCTACCTCCCACCCTGCCTTCTAATTGGTTATCAGACCTGTCATTTCTGCTTCCAAATGTCTCCCATTCCAGTTACCCTCTACCAGCAGCAACATTTGTCTGGATTCCTATGAAGAATGTGAACTTGATCCCATCATTGAAGGGGGCAGATAAATTCTAAGAGGACATGTTTCCTATTATGAAAACCGATTAGCAAGAAGAAGAAAAAAAAAAAAAACTATTAGCCAGGCTATGGTGACAGTGTGTACTGTTGCAGAAGACCTGAGTTCAGATCCTAGCATCTACATCAAGCAGTTCATAAGCACCTATAACTCCAGTTTCAAGGGGATCTGGCCCTTCTGGGGACCTGCACTCTCATGTTCATACTCCCTTCCCCATACATACAAAAATAAATCTTAAAAAACCTGGCTACAGTCAGAACTTGGAAAAGTGAGGTAAGAGGATTTTGAGTTGGAGGCCAGGCTGGACTACATGATGAGACCCTGTCTCACCCTTCCCAACCCCCCAACACAAAAAAAGATCTCATATAAACCCTGACTGGATCCTAATCCTTCCCTTCCTTCCCCAACACCCCTCCCAAGAAAAGTAATAAAAGCCATTTGGAAGACAATGGAAACATTTAATAGAGAATGGGTGTAGATACTAATGTTTCTTAGAGGTGATAATAGCATATGGACTTCTCTTTGTTCTCTGGAGATATATGTTAAAGTACTCAGTTACTTTGTTAGTTTTTCAAGACAGGGTTTCTCTGTGTAGCCCTGACTATCCTGGAACTCACTCTGTAGACCAGGCTGGCTTAGAACTCACAAAGAGCCACTTGCCTCTGTCTCCTCAGTGCTGGGACTAAAGGTGGGCACTGCCACCACCTGGCCTCATTTATTTATTGAGACAATGTCTCACTGTGTTGCCCTGACGGCCCTGGAACTCTCAATGAAGACCAGACTGGTCTCCAACTCAGAGATCTGCCTACACCTCCCTCCTGAGTGCTGGGATTAAAGGTGTGAACCACCATCCCTGGCATATGCTGCCGTATTAAGGTTGTATTAGGACTATACAATTTTCAAGTCTATAAAAGTTAAAAAGAAAGTGTTTTAAAGGATAACACATAAAGCTTTTGATCTCCATGGAGTTCGTAAGTCATCTTATTTCAACTTATCTGTGTTTGGAGTTTTTCTTGTTTTGTTTTTTTGGTTTTGTTTTTCGAGACAGGGTTTCCCTGTGGCTTTGGAGGCTGTCCTGGAACTAGCTCTTGTAGTCCAGGCTGGTCTCGAACTCACAGAGATCCGCCTGCCTCTGCCTCCCAAGTGCTGGGATTAAAGGCGTGCGCCACCAATGCCCAGCCCTGGAGTTTTTCTAAATGAAAAACATGGGAATGAGGTCTCTAGCAGCAGAGCGGGAGTTAGGTTTGTGGGATATTGCTTTAATAGGAGACGTCTTACAATCTCCTTTCCCCCTGCCTGTGTTTCCTCACTGCAGTATTTTCTCTTGGCTTTAGCCATTACTAACTCTTAAAATGCTCTTTCTCCCATGGCTTTCCTCCACATCTTTAGCTCAACAAGTGCTTCTTCAGGCGCCTCTCATCTCCAGGCCAGCCGAGTCCCTGCCTCCTCCATCTTTCCACCTGTGCCTCTCTGCTGCAGAGCTCATGTCACACTGGCTGTGATCATGTTTCCCTGTTCTCACTGCAGACTCAGCTCTTGAAGCTCAGGGCTAGGTTTGTTCTTTGGTCCATCCTTTCACACTGGCCCAACCCCTAACACATGCAGTTAGCAAATACTGGAGGATCAATGAGTACGGCCCACTGTGCAGATGCCATAGCCTGAATGTTAAATTCATTTCCTTTCTTTATTTTGCTCTGACTAAAATTTAGTGCTGTCTTCTTACCTGGTAGGACCCTTTCCACCTCAGGGTCTTTTGGGGTTGTTTTTGTGGGGAGATTTTGTTTTGTTTAGTTGTTGGTTTTATTTTGTTTAGAGACAAGGTTTCACAGTATAGCTCTGGCAGGCCAGGACCTTGTTACATCAGACTAGCCTCAAACTCAGAGATCTGCTAGACTCTGACTCTGCCCCTCCCAAGTGCTAAGATTCACACATTTGGCGAGATTTTTTCCCCCTTTAGTGCTGGGGCTGGAATCCAGGACCTCACTCATACTAGGTGAGCACTCCACATTAATATCTTTTGAAAATATTCTTTCCCTTATCTATCTCCATTGCCTAAGCATCCGACTGGCTTTTGTCCCACCCACTGTTTATTGCATGCTTCCTTCTAAAAAGGTTGTGCTGAGCATGGCAGTAGGGTCCAGGAACTGCACTCCCTGCCCTTGCTGGCCCTGTGCTGCCAGTCTGCTTTTCACGCTTGTTTTGAAAACATGCTAGCATCACACCATATCCAGGGGTAACTCGCAGAATCCTAGCCTCCCTGCCCATGTCGACCTCTCTTCCAGTCGCTCTTGCTTCCCGATCTCTGCTCTCATGCCTTATTGAGCTCTTTGCTGTCCCAGAAGTCTGCCATCCATTTCCATGACACTGTGTCCTTGTACATGTTGTTCTCTCCAACTAGAATTATCACCTGCCTTGTCCATCTGTCCTGCTTGGCCTCCAGGGCAGAGCTGCAGTATCTCTACTGGAGTCCCTCTCGCTCCTCTGATTCCAAGCTGATGATTCATTCCCTTGAGCTCTGGCCGTGTTTGTCAGCTTTGGTATCTGTGTTCTTTCTGGCTGTTTTCCCCAGGGGAACGAATGGGCATCTGGCTTTGGTATCAACAGAGCCTAGTGTACAAAACTTATTCTAAATTCCAGGATTTGATAGGAAGTGGGGAACTCTCCAACCCGTCTGTGTGTCTGTGTTTCTGTCTGTCTGCCTGCCCGCCTGCCTGCCTGCCTGCCTGCCCGCCCACCTGCCTGCCTGTTTGTCTTTCTATCTGTGGTTGTCAGTAAGAACCCAGGCCTGGCCTGGATCTTATCACTCTGGCAGCTCTTGGCATAGCTCTCTCCATATTTGGCTTATACAGTGAGATAGACTGGACAGTGTACCATGCATCCTTGTGCCCAGGACTGGACATTATCACATGACCTTTAGTCAGCTAATACCTGACACCCAAAAGATTTCAAAGTTTGACAGTCAAAGCTGGGCTCACACATTCAGCCATAGAGATGTGTATTTGGAAGGCGTCCCCGATTAGTGAAAATACTTTGAATGTTGCTTGTCCTTGCCACTGCTTAGCTCCCTGTTTGGTCTCTTTGAGCCAGTCTTTTGCAAGACATACTTTGCTCATTGTTTTGCTCCTCTAATGAGGTGCCATAGGCTAATGACATCAGCCAGTCCATGGAAAGAAATGTGTGTTTATTAACTTTTAATACCCTGAGCCCTAAGGAAAAAGAGAAAAGCGTCGCTGGGTTTTCCCACTCTACATTTAGCCTGCAAATAATTCTTTATTAGATTTTCATATATAAAGTATTAAATGCAATAAAAAAATTAAATAGCTGTGTGTGTGTATATATAATGCATGCTTGTCTGCATTTCTGAAGGATACTTTAAAAATAGAGTGGGACATGTTGGTACATGCCTGTAATCTGAGCACTTAGGAGGCAGAGACAGAAAGATCAAGAGTTCAAAGCTAGCCTCAGCTACATAGTGAATTTCAGGTCAATCTGGGCTAAATGAGACTAGATCTAAAAATAGAAAACCAAATACACTCTAAAGTGCCAAATAAATATTGATGACAGGGGAGGAAAATTCATAGTAATTGCTTTGGTCTTAGGTGAAATTCCTAGTGCAATACTAATTTTTTGAATTTTCATTGTACTTTGGTGGTGGTTGTGGTTGTAGCAAGAGTCTCACATGGTAGGCTAGTTTGGTGTGGAACTCACTGTGTAGACCAGGCTAGTCTCAAACTTGAGATGGTTTTCCTGGCTCAGCCTCAACTAGGCACTAGGTAAATAGGTTATAATTTTTAATACTAACCAGTTATAACTTATTTAAACAAAAAAACCCACAATTTTATTTTTTTATTTATGTTTATGTATATGGGTGTTTTGTCTAAATATATGTCTGTGCACCGTGTGTGTGCCTGGTACCCTTGAAAGCCAGGAGACGGTGTTGGATTCCCTGGGACTAGAATTACAGTTACAAGCTGCCATGTGTGTGCTGGGAATCTCCCACTTGTATACAGTGCGTTTGGATCAGGCCCACCCTCCCCACTCTCCCCAGGCCCTGCTCTCAAATTCTCCTCCCAGCTTGGTGTCATCTTTTTTATAACCCGTCCACGAGGTCCAGTGAATGCCAGCTGTATGCGCATGGCTGCGGGACATCCACTAAAGCAGTGGTTTTTGACTTAATGCTGAGACCCCCTATTACAGTTCCTCATGTTGTGGTGACCTCCCCAGCCATACAGTTATTTTCATTGCTACTTCATAACTGGAATTTTGCTACTGTTATGAATCATAATGTAAATGTCTCTTTTCCTATGGTCTTAGGCGACCCTTATGCTAAAGGGTCATCTTACACCCCAAAGAGATCGAGACCCACTGCTGCATAAGCAGCCTCTACCAGGAGCCATGCTGGTAAAGAAAATGGACTGGACAGACAGCTCAGCAGTGAAAACCACTTGTTGCTCTTGCAGAGGACCCAGGATTGGTCCCCAGCGCCCTCATGGTGCTCAGAGCCATCTATAACTCTAGTTCCTGGGATCTTATTCCCTTTTTTGAACCCTTTCAGGAACAAGTCACACATATGGTATACATACATATATGCAGGCAAAACACTTATACACACAAAATAATTCTTAATTTTTTTTTCTTTTTTGGTTTTCCAAGACAGGGTTTCTCTGTGTAACAGCCCTGGCTGTCCTGGAACTCTCTTTGTAGACCAGGCTGACCTCAAACTCACAAAGATCCAACTGCCTCTGCCTCCCCAGTAGTGGGATTAAAGGCGTGTGCCACCACCGCCCAGCTTGGCAGTCTGGTTTTTTAAAAGTTAAGTAAAGGTTGTGAAAAAGATGGCCTGGACTAAGCGGGCCTGTCTGGACTTCACCAGTGGCATATGTAAGAATCATGGATTCTGTGCTCTGTGTACAGCTCACAGGGCAGTCCAGGAGGAGAAACTGATGGTTAGTAAGCAAACTGTTGGTGTCAGAGGTACCACCCCGGAGTTCTTCCTCCAATATCCTGCGTAAAGATGAGCGCAAGGCAGAGGGCTCAGGAAGAGACTAAAAGCAGAGAGATTCGGGGGACACTGATAAAAACAACTCATTCAGAGCAGACAGAAGGGCCAGCAAAAGAAGGCAGAAGCAGAATACTGCAAACTTTCCAAAGGAGGGGAAGCAGTTCTTAAGAAAGGAAAAAAAAAATAGTGCAGTTATCCTCTTCAAAACCCTATGGGCATCACCTTGTGCAAGCACAGGCAAAATTAGATGACTCCAATCAAGTAAACCACACAGAATTTCTCACCCCACCCTCTTTGCTGATGTGGCTGTGGCTGTGCTTTCGGTGAGGCAGAACCATTGGAACAGGTAACTCATCAGGCAAGAGTAGCTTCAGGCCACCTGCCAACGAGCCATCTTCCCAATAACCTATTGTACTCTGGAGAATAGGAGAAACCAGTATTTAGATGACTTCACACGTTTATAAGACCTGTATATAACCAAATAAACAACAAGTTAAGGCTTAGAAAAAAATACTTCAAACATATTATGTGTGTGAGTGTGTTTTGCCTGCGTGCATGTATACCACTTGCATGCCTTTTAGCCATGAAGGCCAAAAGAAAGCTCCAGTTTCCCTGAAGCTGGAGTTATAGACAGTTGTGAGCTGATATGTAGGTGCTAGAACTTGAACCCTAGACATCTGGAAGGGCAGCCAGTGCTCTTCACTGCTGAGCCTCTCATGTCCAATACCTAAAAAAAGAAAAATTAATGTGCTTAAAACATTTAAATGAAGCCAGACATAGTAGCACACACCTTTAATTCTAGCATTCAAGAGGCAGAGGTAGGTGGATTTCTGTGAGTTTGAGAGCAGCCTGGTCTGCATAGCAAGTTCCAGGCCCCACTCACAGCAATATAGGAAGACCCTGCCTCATATAAAAATGAAAACCAAGCTGGGCACAGTGGTACACACCTGTAATCAGAAGCCAGCCGGGCATTGGTGGTGCACGCCTTTAATCCCAGCACTCGGGAGGCAGAGGCAGGCTGATCTCTGTGAGTTCGAGGCCAGCCTGGTCGCCAGAGCGAGTGCCAGGATAGGCTCCAAAGCTACACAGAGAAAACAAAAAAACCAAAAAAAAAAAAAAAAAAAGAAGAAGAAGAAAGAAGTCAGAGGATTGCCACAAATGTGAAGCCAGCCTGGAAATATAGGAAGGTCCAGGCCAGACAAAGATATATAACAAGACTGTCTTTAAAAAAAAAAAAAAAAGAAAATTAGCATTTTAAATTTTTATTGAAATAAAATGTGCTATGATTCATTTAGAGATTCTTCAAGATAAGTTTGTTTTTTACATTCAAAGAATGGATTGATGACAGAAACAAACACTGTATAACATCGAAGAAAAAGAATCTCTATGTAGCCCAGGCTGGCCTCAAGCTCTCCATCTCCCTGCCTCTGGAGGGTTGAGATTGTTAAGATTGTTTACTATTTTTAGTTATGTCTGTGTGTGGGTATGTCTGTGTGAGTGCAGTGCCCGAAGAGGTCATAACTATGGGATCCCCTGGAGCTGGAGTTGGGGTGGTTGACAGCTGCCTAATGTGGATAGTGGGAATTGAACTCAAGTCCTCTGCAAGAGCAGCAATACATATTCTAAATTGTAGCACCATCTCTCCAGACCCCAGAAGCAATTTTTAAGCCCTTTCTATATATCAGATGCTATTCTTAGTACTTTAAGTGTGTGATCTAGAAGTATGTACTTTTTTTTTTTTTTTGGACATAAAAATGGGTGTTTTTTTTTTTGTTTTTTTGTTTTTTTTTTTTTTTTTGCACAGCAAAATGGCTCAGTGGGTAGAAGCGCTTGCTACACAATCCTGATGACCTGAGTTCAATTCACAAAATGCACCTTAAAAGGCCAGCTGCAGTGCCAGCCATCTGTAACCCCAGCACACCCATGTTGAGATGGGAGGTGGAGACCGAAGTTTGAGGGCCATGCTGGGCAGTGGTGGCACACGCCTTTAATCCCAGCCCTTGGGAGGCAGAGGCAGGCGGATCTCTGTGAATTAGAGATCAGCTTGGTCTACAAGAGCTAGATCCAGGACAGGATCCAAAGCCACAGAGAAACGCTGTCTCGAAAAACAAGAAACAAAAACAAAACAAAAAGTTTGAGGGCTAGTTAGCCTGGAGGATGCAGAGTGTCAGAAAGGAGAGAAATGACTGTCACTCTGACCTCCACGTCCTTGCTGAAGCACACACACTCACAGACAGAGACCCCAGACTTTTTTCTAACCAGTTTTTAAATTGTGTATAAAGTGAGTTTCATTTTTTTTTTCTAAGAGTAGGTTTCATGTATTTATCCTTGCGCCTTGCTCATCTTGCCTCCCCCATGGGGAGTGGGGGTATGGAAACTCTTTGTGCTTCCGAAGTGTGACAGGACTTAAGAACACTAAGATCCACTAAGGTCTTCGCACTTGTGAATAGATTCAAGAATGCTGTTTCCATTCTTCCCTAGGAGAGTGACATCCTCAAGTCACAGAGCTCGGGAAGACAGCTGGCTCAAGTCCTTATTTGTCCGAAAGGTGGATCCCAGGAAAGATGCACACTCCAACCTCCTGGCCAAGAAGGAGACGAGCAGTCTGTACAAGTTACAGTGTGAGTAGCGGCACCGCTGTCCTCGAGCTTGGCTCAGTCTGTCTGTCCCTAAGTCCATCATTTCATTTTCTTTTTGTTTCAGTTCACAACGTTAAGCCGGAATGTCTAGACGCATACAACAAAATTTGGTGCGTATCTTAAATATCCCTTACTGGTGTGGGTGGGAGGCTCATGTAATGATCTTCATGTGTTGGCTCGGCTAACCCTCCATAACAGAGATCTTTGATCTCCCTAAGGCTGAATGTTCAAAGGTTGACTCAGTGGGGGGTGAGGGCATGGGACTGCCAGTGGCCTTTTGATTTTAAACACTCACACAGTGCTTCACCTAGGAAGACCCTCCGAGCCTTGAATCTGTCCAGGCCTTCCTGGATGCCTGTGGGTAAAGAACTCCCCTCTCCGGACAGCTTGGAGAGTTAGCAATTACAACAAACCTCCATTGTTTTTCCCTAAGTAAAACTGCCACATTGAAGTCCTGCGTGAGGAACTGGGGTGGACTTGGTGACAAGGTCTGTAATGCACATGGAAGGTGAAGACAGAGATTAGGAGTTCAGAGTCATTCTTGACTATGTAGTAAGTTCCAGGCTGGAGGGCAGCTTGGGCTGCAATGTGAAACTTTCTAAAACTTCAAAAAGCTAGCCGTATGTAGTGTTGCATGCCTTTAATGCCAGCCCGATGGAGGCAGATCTCTGTGAGTTTGAGGTCAGCCTGGTCTACACAGTGAGTCCCAGGCCAACACCCTGTCTGGCCATTTTTTTTCCCAATAAATTAAAAATAAAGGATCTGGAAGGATGGCTCAGTGGTTAAGAGCACTTGTTGCTCTTGCAGAGGGACCCGGGTTCAGTTCTCAGCACCCACATGATGAATAATGACTGCCCTAGTTGCTTTTCATGGATCCCATGAGCCCATGGGATCCATTCCCATTTAAACTACCAGAGTTCCAGGAGATATAGCGCCCTCTTCCGACCGCCACAGTCAGTGCATGCACATAGTGCACAGACATAAGTGCAGGCAAAACTACCTATACACATGAAATAAAAATCCCAGCACTCAGGAGGCAGAGGCAGGCGGATCTCTTTAATTTGGGTCCAGCTTTGTCTACAAAGAGAGTACCAGGATAGCCAGGGATATGTAGAGAAACCTGACTCAAATAATAATAATAACAATAAACCTTAAAGTAATAAATGTGACAAACCAAAGATGTTTATCTGTTAGTTTTTCCCCACAAAATATTTTCTGCTGGGTGTTGGTGGTGCATGCCTTTAATCCCAGAACTCAGGAGGCAGAGGCAGGCAGATCTCTGTGAGTTCGAGGCCAGCCTGGTCTCCAGAGTGAGTGCCAGGATAGGCTCCAAAGCTACACAGAGAAACCCTGTCGCGAAAAAAAAAATATTTTCTCTGTGCTTCTGCTTCCATGGGTCATCTTTCTTGTCCTGTCTATGTGCTATCTTAGAGTCCTGACTGTATGTCTTCAATGTGTTTGGACGGCTTGCACCCACTTCAAACTCAACACCCCAAATCACTCACTCCTCTTCTGTCCCTACCTTGTTATATTTAACTCTTTCTTGGGTTCTAGGACATCAGTCACTGAGGGCTGGCATTCTTTACCTGCCTTGTCATTGGGTTCCCTGAAGGTTCCTCTTTTGTCTCCCTCTTGACAGTTACCTTCTCTTCTGGCTGCCCTCCTGGCTGGAGTGACAGGTCCCTTATCTCCCTAGCAACTCATTACTCCAGAGCCTGTCAGGTTGATCTGTTTGAGTTCTGTTTTCTTCCCTCCTAGTGGTTTGGTTTTGTTTGTTTTTCCTTTTCTTTAGAACTTTCAGCAGCACTTGATCCCATAGCCTAATTGCCACCTGGCCTATAGGGGCCCCTGTCAAGAGATTCCACCCAACCCACCCGGTCCTCAGTACAAATACCACCTGTCTCCCAGCCTCCGCTTAGATAAGGCCTAGGCTTGTAAGAGCAACTCTGGGACCCTGTGCATAGAACTGACTGATTCCATATGTGAGTCTGTGTAGGGCCTAGGGCCCACGTCAGCCCTTCACCCCCACCCCAGAACTTTCTGGACCCCACCTTGATCATCCATACTGATGTTACCCCTCTGCAGTAGCTCCACAGTTATTTACGTCCTGCTCACATCAGGGCACAGAAAGAAATTCATCCTGAGTTTATTCTCCCCCACCCCAGATCTGCATTATTTCTGACCAGCCCTGAGTTTTATATCAGGTACATCTAATATCATATTTTAGGTTAAGAAAAAAAATCAATGTACACAAAAAAAGTAAATGTCACCTCTCAAGAAATAGACATGAGCTATCCTTGGTGGTACATGCCTGTGATTACAGAATTCCAGAATTTCAGGCAGATTTGTGAGCTCAAGGCCAGCCAGGAATATGTAGTGACAAGACCTTGTCTCAAAAGCAACAGCAAAATTAGATGGATGTGGTAGGATGTAGCTCTAAACAGACATTGGCACACTGGAGGTAGGAGGCAGAGGCAGGAGATCATCACAAGTTTGAAGCCCTTACAGTTTACATAGCAAGTTCCAGGCTGGCCAGGGCCACACAGCAAAATCCTGTGTCCGTAGGTACAGTAGGTAGGTAGATAGATAGATAGATAGATAGATAGATAGATAGATAGATAGCAAACACTGGGAGCTAGAGAGATGGCTCAGTGGTTAAGAGCACTGACTACCCTTCCAGAGGTTCTGAGTTCCATTCCCAGCAACCACACAGTGGCTCACTACCATATATAATGGGATCTGATACCTCCTTTTGGCATGCAGGCATATGCAGACAGAGCACTTATAGAAAAGAAAAAAAAAAAAAACCTAAATGACAATATGTAGTACTTGTCATCAGCCTACTATAATTATGATGTGCTATTGGCAGATAAATGGAGCCAGAACCATTTCTTTTTTCTTTCAGTTTTTTGAGACATGGTCCAGGATTAATTTTCTGTATAGCCAGGCATGGTGGCATATGTCTATAATGCCAGTACCTAGGGAAAATCAGTCCCAAGTTTAAGGTCATTAGCAACTAAATGAGACCCTGTCTGCATCATAGGAAGGTTTCTGTGGAGTTAAGCTTAAATATGACACCTGTTAAAAGTCACACATGGCTGTGACCTGTCAAGGCTTGGGCACAATCCTGCTCTTAGTGGTCCTGAATTGGTTGGTGTGTTCATTGTGTTACTTCTGAGATCCCTGTAGCTGGCTGAATTGAGTGGAACCAATTGTTGCTTCAAGTGTCTGTGAAGGCTGTCTTGCTTCAAACCACTAAGTCTGACTGTTGTCTTTCTTCCCAAAGGCCTGCTCCACTGCCTTGCTCTGCTAGCTGTCTATTGCTCACCTCTGACTTGAATGCTTCTCTCACTTTCTGATTTCTTCCATGACCTTGTATGTAATTCCCATCTTTCTTTCTCTATGGGAGCCAGCAGAACATAACTTGTGTAAACATCACATTCCTAAATGGCTTTTTCCTTCTTTCTCTTGAAATAGCAAATAATAGAGCCATTGCTCCTGGACTCTGGGACCTTCGGTCCTTTGTAAACACCTTTATCAAACTGCAGGAGTTGCTTGTAACTCTTGTAAATAACCTGGGGTTAAAGCCTAAGCTGTTGACAAATGGGTGCTGATAGACAACGGAATTTGGCTAACACTTCAGTTCCAGACTTCATCTCACAAATATGCTGTGAGGGGCTGGTGAGATGGCTCAGTGGTTTAGAGGACTTGTTACTCTAACAAAAGACTCCAGTTTGACTCCCAGCACCCACAGGGTGACTTACAACTATCTGTAACTCTAGATCCAGAAGATCTGATGCTCTCCTGGCCCCTGTGGGCACCAGGCCCACACAGTATACAGACATACATGCAGACAAAACATTTGAACACATAAAATAATTAAATCTGAAACAAAAAACAAAACACATATACTGTGGGGTCAGTTACTTGAACACATAAGAAGTGCTTGCATTCCAAATGATGCTTTCAGGCTGTTGACAGGGAAATCTCTCACCTGTTTAATCAGCATTGCTGTCTCTTCTCTTTAAGTCAAGAAGTGTTACCAAAGATCCACGAAGGCAAGCAGTACCCTTGTACCTTGGTGGGGACATGGAACACGTGGTATGGCGAGCAGGATCAAGCCGGTAGGAAGCAGAAGTCTTTGGGATAAATATCTTCATGCTAGTTTGCAGTTTAAATTATTTTGTAATGTAATGCTTTTTTTTAATGGTCCTTTTAAAGCCCCATTTTTGTTTCCTGGATCAAGTGGTTTCTTTAGTAACTCACTGCAAAAGTTACATTCTTTTTAATATTCTGTTATGGAAACTTTGTAATATGACTCAAGGGCAGATACAAGGCACATTACAATGTTGTACTGTATTCCCATGGTGTATGCAAGATACATTACAATGTTGTACTGTGTTCTCATGGTGTATGCAAGATACATTACAATGTTATACTGTGTTCATGTGGTATATACAAGATATATCACAATGTTGTGCTGTGTTCACCTGATGGATACAAGGCATTCTACAATGCTGTACTGTGTTCATGTGACATGCATCTATATTGTCAAAGTAAGAGTGCCTTGACACTAAATATGTTCTGTCTTTTAAAATGCATTTCAGTCCACCTCTGGAGATATGAAGGAGGCTACCCAGCCCTCACAGAGGTCATGAATAAACTCAAAGAAAACCAGGTAACAATTTCGAAAAACAAAATATGTATATATAGATATAGATGTGCCTGGGTAGTCTTTTTTGTTTGTTTGTTTGTTTTTTGTTTTTTGAGACAGGGTTTCTCTGTGGCTTTGGAGGCTATCCTGGAACTCGATCTGTAGACCAGGCTGGCCTCGAACTCACAGAGATCCGCCTGCCTCTGCTTCCTGAGTGCTGGGATTAAAGGTGTGCGCCACCATCGTCTGTCGAGTTTGTGTAGTCTTAATGATACAGGATGTTCACACAGAACTTCATAAAGACACTGTTAGCAGCTTTCATTAGTAAACCATTTAGCTTTCATAGTAGAAATTTCACCATATGAGCTTTTAAAATTGTATGTTAGCACAAAGCTATAAGTTTTATTACTATCAAAATCACAGCTCCTCCATGATAGCACATTGAAATTGACAAGACAGGACTTTAACACTGGCCAAGCTGCATGGTAGACACAGCCCTGGATTACAATTAGAAACTGTCAGCCACATACATTGTTTGTTTTCTTTTTGAATACTCATTTGTTTGAGACGGTCTCATATAGCTAGCTCAGGCTAGCCTCAAACTCCTTATGTACCCAGGGATGGCCTTAAGTTCTTCTCCTACCTTCCCAAACACCAGAGTCATTGGTGTATACCACTATCTCTGGGTTATGTGGTGCTGTGGATCAAACAAACCCCAGCTTAGTAATTTAGAGGACTTATTGCTCTTGTGGAAGACTGAGGTTTGATTTCAACACCTGCATGGTGGCTCACAACCATCTGTAACTGCAGTTCTAGAGGATCTGATACCCTCTTCTGACCTCCATGGGTGCCAGGCATATGCATGATGTACTTATATACATGCAAGCAAACATTCATACCCATGAAATAGAATAATTAAATCATTTTAAAACACACAAAAAGTATCTGGATACACTAGGAAGTGAGAAAAGATGTAGTTTTTATTTTAGTGCAACAGATAAAAACTAAGATGGTCTCACTTATAACTATATCCTGTGGAATTTAGTTGCTACTAAAGTATATTTATATCTAAGTATCTGACTATTTCATGAGAATTTTTTTTCACCCAAAGGAATTTGTAAATTTCCGTAAAGCCAGAAGTGACATGCTTCTCTCCAGGAGGAATCAGCTGTTGTTGGAGTTCAGTTTCTGGAATGAGCCGGTGCCAAGATCAGGACCCAATATATACGAACTTAGGTCCTACCAACTTCGTGTAAGTAGCAAATGCAGGCCAGCTTTCCCTAGATGGCTTCCTGATGCAGACATTACGACAGAAGTATTGTTATGTGTGTTTAGCATCTTACTTCTATTTTTCAGGGGTGGTGGTGGTGATTGGAAACAGGGTCTCCCATAGCCCAGGTGCTGGGATTAGAGACATCCAGCACCACATCAGGTTTATATTTTAATTTGACTTGTTTTCTCCCAGTCTGATCTTTTTTATTTTACTTTTTTGTTTGTTTGTTTTGTTTTTCGAGACAGGGTTTCTCTGTATTGCTCTGGAGCCTGTCCTGGATCTCTCTCTGTACACCAGGCCAGCTTCAAACTCACAGAGATCCGCCTGCCCAGCCTCCCGAGTGCTGGGATTAAAGGCTTGTGCCACCAATGCCCTGCTCCCCCCCCCCTTTCTCAGCCTTTTTTTTCTGCTAAGTTCTTTTGTATTTATGGCATTATGTATAATGTTTATTACTTGATGGTTTTCCAAGTAATTTCTTTTTTTGAGGCTGACTTCAAACTCGGCATATCACCAGGGATAGCCCTGAACTCTTGGTCCTCCTGCTTCCACCCCCTAAGCACTGAGATCACAGGTGGGTGCCACCACGTCTGGTATACACAGTACTGAGGATCCAGCCCAGAGCTCTGTGGTGCCAGGCCAACTGAGCTACGTTACATCCCAGCCCCAAATAACACTCTGTGTGAGGAAGGAACTTGAGTGCAGAACCAGGTATAATACACAGCAACTACACTTGCTGAACCAGGAGTGTCTAATATGCACTGAGTGTTGCACGAATTATCCAGCACTGTTTGAGTGAGAATGAGAGTGAGCCAGGCCTGGTGGCCATTGCCTTTAATTCCTGTCCTCAGGAAGCAAAGGCCGGCAAATGTCTGTGAGTTCAAAGCCACCCAGGTCTATAAAGTCCTCCAGGGTAACCATGGAGACATAGAGAAACCCTATTTCAAAAAATAGCAAAAATAACTAAATAAGAAATGAGAATATTTTTTTACAACTGTCTAGATGTGTCCCTTCTGTGACTAAAAAGAATGACCTAGATATAGCCCATTTTTAGTGATACACTCGGATTGCACATACAATAGAAAACATGGTAAATTGTGTCCGTTAACCATCTTCTTTCTATATCCATCCTTCACCCTTCCCAGCTTCCAGTGGCAGCAGCATTACAAGATGTACATCTCAGTGATCTAATGATCACCCTTGTACTGGGGAGGTGGAAAGAGGCCCTTCAGCGAATCAAAGGATGGACTGACTGTTCCACCATGTGAACATAGTACAACGTTGTGGTGTATCTTATATATACCACATGAGCACAGTACAACACTGTAATGTGCCTTGTATCACCATTTGTGGAGGACTTACTTAGAGTATGTGTAGGTTGTTTTCTCAAATGACACCATGGAATGCTACAGTGATGTCATAGGAACACAGCAGATAATCACAATTTTGTTCCTGTCCTATATATGTTCATACAACTAACCAAAACCTAACTTCCCTTTCAGCCAGGAACAATGATTGAATGGGGCAATTACTGGTAAGTAAGTATATTGTTGTGTTGAGTTTGTCAATCTCATTATTTTCAGCCATGCCATAATTTTTTCCCCTTTTAAGACAATCTCATATCCCAGCCCTACCTTCAAACTCAACCATGTAACCACGACAGCCCTTGAACTGATCCCTGTGCCTCCATCTCCCAGGTTCCTGGACTCCCCGGTGTTTGCCACCACATCTGGCTCACATTGTAAATCCTAAGGTGAAAAACACTTAAATGCCTTGACTCAGTGCTGCACTTTATCAGAGTCTCTCACTACGTTGCCAGGATAGTCTAGAATGCCTGGGCTCAAATGCTCCTCCTGCCTCCACCTCCAAAGACACTGGAAGACACATCACCATCCTTTTTTAAGATTTATTTTCTTTTATGTATCTGGGCATTTTGTCTGCATGTATGTCTGTGTACTCCATGCATACAGTACCCACAGAGTCCAAAGGAGAATGTTGGATCCTCTGGAGTTACAGGCATTTGTAACCCTTGTGGGTGTTGGGAACCAAACTTGGGTCCTTTGCAAATCAGCAAGTGCTCTTAACCACAGAGTCATCTCTCTACCTCTACTTGATTTGTTTTCTTTAAATGTCTTTTTACTACATTTTTGTCCGTTATTGGTAGGGCATGGTGCCTGTGGAGGTTAGAGGACAGTTTACTAGAGTTGCCTCTCTTCTTCTGCCATGTGGATCCCAAGGATGAAATTCAGGCCATCAGGTTTCACTCAAGTGCCTTTAACCCCTGAGTTATCTTGCTGGCCCCTGGTTTGGATAACTTGATTTATGTTTTTATGAAAAATTTGAACCATGTATAAAACTAGAGAGAACAATATAATGGATCTCCCATTTTATACTTATACCTAAGATTCCATAATTAATTTTAAAGTAATTTTTATTTCATGTTCATTCATGTTTTACCTGCATGTATATCTGTGTGCAAATGTTGGATCCCCTGAAACTGGTGATACAGACAGTTGTGAGCTGCCCTGTGTGTGCTGGGAATTGAACCCAGATCCTTTGGAAGAACAGTCAGTGCTCTTATTTTGGTTTTTTTGGTTTGGTTTGGTTTGGTTTTGGTTTTTCAACACAGGGTTTCTGGCTTTGGAGGCTGTCCTGGAACTAGCTCTTGTAGACCAGGCTGGTCTTGAACTCACAGAGATGCACCTACCTCTGCCTCCCGAGTGCTGGGATTAAAGGCATGCACCACCACTGCCCGGCCCAGTCAGTGCTCTTAACTGCTGAGCCAACAAACTCTCTAGCCCTGCTTCTATAATTATTAACACAAGCCAAACATCACATATAATCCCACCATTTAGGAGGCTAAAGGTTGATCACAAGACATAGCAAGACCCTATCTCAAGAAACAAAACAAACAGCAAAAGAAAAACACATACACAAAAATAAATTACTAACACGTGGCCAGTTGTGTTAAGGTCTAACTCTTCCAGTTCACCCTCTGAGGAATTACCAAGACCACATGCTGTTCAATCTTTAACCACAGCATACATCTCTCCCAAAAGGCTTGCAAAGTCCCATTACTGTGCAGAATAGCTTCACACAGTACACTTCTTGAGGGTGATCTCAGGGAACTGGGGTTTGTTACTTTAACAGAGCAGCTGGGATCAATGATGCAGCTATTTTTCTTTCTGCAGTTTGAGTAGCAAAGTACCAATGCAAGCTTACACAGATAAAAATCAAAGAGGTCCACCTGCCTCTGCCTCCTGAGTGCTGGGATTAAAGGCATGTGCCACCACACCTAGCATCAGGTTGGGTTCTCTCTTTTTTTTTTTTTTTTTTTTTTTTTTGAGACAGGGTTTCTCTGTGGCCCTAGCTGACCTGGAACTCACTCTATAGACCAGGCTGGCCTCTAACTCAGAGATTGACCTGCCTCTGCCTCCCAAGTGCTGTGATTAAAGGCATACACCACCACTGCTCATCAACAGGTTGGGTTCTTAACAACTGAGGCAGCTCACAACCATTTGTAACTCCAGTTTCAGGGGAATCTTATGCCCTCTACTGGCCTCCAATGGCACTGCATACACACAGTGCACACACATGCAGGTAGACACTCATAAACATAAAATAAAAATCAATGTTTTCTTTAAATGTAAGAAGTGAAGCATGAAAAATGTCCAGAGAAAATCTTTCTTAGTCTGAAGTAGGCAAAAGTTCCTTGGTTTGATACAAAATCTCAGTCTAGCTACATGTAGTAGTGTACACTGGGCTCCTAGCACTGGGGAGATAGAGGTAGGAGGATCAGGAGATCAAGGCTATCCGCAGCTACACAGCAAGTTTGAGACCAGCTTGAGCTACTGAGACCTTGTCTCAAACAAAAAAAAATACATATTTGATTATATACTATGATAGTACCATTTTAATAAAGGGATTTTTGTTTATGTTTTTGAGCTGTTTGTGTTAGCTTTTAGCAGTATAAATGTTCATACAACTAGGATGTTACTAATTAATATATTTTCAGAGTGAATCCCCAGGATGTGTTGCAGTTACTTGGTTATTTTAAGCATTTTATGTAGCCAGTTCAGCATTGGATTTGTATTTTGGCATGTAGGTAACTATTAAGATGGTGGTCTCCGAAGCACCCATTTCTGATTATTACCAGGTTACGGCAAGTATATTTTCTTTGCCTTCCATAAACAAATTAGAAAAGTTCAGAATTAAATTAATAATACAGAATATTTTATCTCTATCAATGAAAAACTCTTCCTCCTGAGCAGTTATAATGCACAGTTCAGTTGATTTCCTTAATTCGAGACAATTGATCACATTTGTAATTTTTATGATGATATCTGTATAATTTGTGGGAAATCCATGGGGGATTCACAGCAGAGGAACCTGGAGGCCTTGGTGGGGGTCGTGCTTGGGGTTCTTGGTCCTCATGAACAATTTTAGTGGTCACAGCATGGCCCTCAGCAGGCTGGTCTCATCACTAACAGGACAGGGTGCTCCTGTTTCTGAGCCCTGTTAAGGTGCTAGAATTCACCTCAACAGTGAGAGAACATATGTCAGGCCAGCTGACTTATCTTCTTCTTTATGGCACACAGTGGTGCATGCCTGTAGTCCTAGCATTTGGCAAGCTGAGGCAAGCAAGGTCATGATTCCCAAAACCAGCCTGGGCTAAGATAGTAAGACCCTATCTCAAAAACTTTTAATGTATCCTGTCCCTTAAGGGTCATTTTTCTCACAGTGGATTTCGTAGGTTATTTATCAGGTTCTAGTCATTTAAATAAATGAGGGTAAATCTTCAGCAGTGCTAAGCCCTTCATGTGCCTGAGACCAGGCCGGAGCACAGGAAGTATTGACAAGGATTTCCTGGGTAATCCATGGTGAGAACACCCTTGATAGACTCCAGCTTTGCTTTCCTGGTGAGATGGGAACCCTGCATCATTAGAAGCTCAGCCTTCATTTTTATATGCAATAAAAGAAAATTGATTTGGGGAAAATGTCATTTTTTAACATTTTCAAGATTTCAAGTGATATCACTGAATGTAAAAACAGAGTACCGGTGCCAGTAGAAGATGTTTGAAGGTAAAAAAAAAAAAAAAAAAAAAAAAAAAAAAAAACTGATGCTTTTTTTACAGTGTTAATCTTGAAAACAAGGGGTTTGTGTTTGGCTGGTTGGTTTTGGAAGGCTTTTTTTTAATGAATTGTTTTTATCAATTTTTTTTATTGTTTTGTTTTGTTTGTTTGTTTTTCCAAGACAGGGTTTCTCTGTGTAACAGCCCTGGATGTCCTGGAACTCACTCTATAGACCAGGCTGGCTTTGAACTCACAGAGATCCACCTGCCTCCGACTCTCAAGTGCTGGGATCAAAAGTGTGCACCAGCACCGCCCAGCCTGTTTTCATCCATTTTAAATATGTGTTTGCACATGCGTGCACTGTGAAGGCCAGCAGTCATCAGATTGCTTGAAGCTGTGGTTACAGGTGGTCGAAAGCTGTAAAGGGAATTGAAACTTGGTCCTATAGAAGACCAGCAAATGTTCTCAATACTGAGCCATCTCTCCAGACCCAGATGCCCATTTTAAACCATTTCAATCATGACTCCATGCTGCGTGGATCAGTAGCACATGTGTATGCCCTTCATACATACATAGTATAAAGTTTTCTCCAAAAAAAAAAAAAAGAAAGAAAGAAAGAAAAAGTTAGAGGCAGCTTCATTTGTATTAGTGAGATATAAATGGAGTGCTGACTATAGCAGAATGCACTGCCGAGAAGGGGCCTCCTCACAGTACTCGATATGCTATCCAGAAAGCCAGAGTCTCTGTTTGCTGTGAAAGAGTATCCCCTTGTATCTATTTCAACTCACAGGGATGGGATCCCCCATAGATACAATGTCCTTTGGCATCTTGGGTGTCATATATCTAGTGTTCTTCCCTTTCCCCTGATAAAGCAATTATTTTTTTTTCTTTTTGAGACAGGGTTTTTCTGTGTAACAGTCCTGACTGTCCTGGGACTCACTTTGTAGACCAGACTGGCCTCCTCGGAGATCCACCTGTCTCTGCCTCCCAAGCGCTGGGATTAAAAGCGTGTGGCACCACCAACTGGCTGAAGCAAGTCTTAAAAGTGTTTTCATTAATTCTTTGAGAATTTCATACAGTATATTTTGATCATCTTCATTCCCCTCCCCCAACTCTCCCTATGGTCCCCACCTCCCTACTCACCCATCTTCTTGCTCTCTCTCCTAATAAATCCATGGTGTCCATTTGTGTTAGCTAACTACTCCTGGGTATGAGGCCACCCTAGAGTGTGGTTGGTAACAGCAGGTGTCACACCATTTAAATAAAAAAATGATCCCCTCTCTCATCAGCAATTAAATGCCAGTAGCTCTTCAGCTAGGAGTGAGACTCTGCCCACCTCCCCTCTTCCATGCTGGGGTTTTTTCCTGGCTGGAACTTTTGCAGTTTTGTGTATGCTGCTACAATCGCCATGAGTTCATATGTGCATCTTCCAATTTATGTCTAGAAAACAGTTTCCTCAAAGTCATCCATCACCTTTGGCTCTCACAGTCTTTCTGCCCCCTCTTCTGCACAGATCCCTGAGTTTTCGTGTGCGCGTGCGACTGAACACTCCAAAGCCCCTTATTCTCTACATGTTGACCAGTTGTGTGTCTCTGTGTTAACTGCCATCTAGAAGAAAAGCTCTGATGAGGCTTTAGTGATGTATTGACCTATGGGTCTGGCAATACGTTATTAGCAGTCATTTTATTACTGTGACTATTTAGCAGCATTGACAGCAGCAGGTTACCCCCTAGGGCCTATGATAATATCTACTCTCGGTTCTTGGTCTCATTAACAGTGTCAAATATGGATCCCATCTCATGGTCTAGGCCTTAAATCCAACCAAAAAGTAGTTGATTTCCCCAATAGTGTTGGTGCCACCATTGCACCAGTGTGCTTAGCTTGTGAGAAAGTTATTGTAGATTGCAAAGTTCACAGCTGTGAAGCAGTTCCTTTTAAGTTAGCAGGTCTCCCCCTCTTCCAGTTTATATCAAGAATCAGAAGTATATATTTAAATTTAATAATAAGTAGAAATGCCACCATATATTTTGTTGCTGCTTTTATTTTGAAAAGTCAAATGTTATCTACTTCTCACAAAAATAATTAGCCTCCCTAGGAGGCTGAGGCCAGAAAATTATGAGTTTGAGGTCATCTGGCCTACATAGTAAATTCTGAGCTAGCCTGGGGTACAGAATGAAATCCTAACTTCCCCCCAAAATAAATAAATAAATGATTTTATTTACTACTTTGATATGTGTTAAGAAAACAGTCTTCTTTCCCAGCAGCTGGCTCTGAGTAGAGAAAACACAGTCTGTCTTTGCTTTGTTGAGAAAGGGTCTCACTACATAGCATGGGCTGGCCTGGAATCACTGTGTAGCCCAGGCTGGTCTCTAACTTACTGCAGATCCTGCTGCCTTTGTCTTTGCCTTCCAAGTGCTGGGATTACAGGTGTGCATCAGCATCCCCGAGCGCCTACTGACTCTCCTTAACTATCGGAACACTGCTTTTCTCTCATAGGGCCCGTGCCATTCGCTTTAGACAGGACAATAATGAGGCAGTTGGGGGATTCTTCTCTCAAATTGGGCAGCTATATATGGTGCATCATCTTTGGGGTATGTGTATTTTTCCTTCTTTTGTAACTTACTGGGATTGAAGAATTTATTACTAATGAAGTTGTAATACACAGAGGGGCAAATCTAGACTCAGTAACCTTACACACTATAGCAAACGCAATCATTGCAAGTGGATGGTAAGTGCTGGGCTATCTGGAACAACAAAAGAAGTCAGTAGCCAGAGGTCAGTGCATCGCTGGCTTCTAAACTGGTAACAGATGGGACTCAAGTCAGATATGTTGGCACACAGCTGTAATCCCAGCACTCAGGAAGGTGAGGAAGGAGAATTGAGAGTTCACTACCAACAAGGGCTACATGGAAGATTCCAGACCAGCCTTGAGCTACAAACCAAGACAGGGTAAAAACAAAAAAAAAGAAAAAAAAAAAAAAAGAAGAAGAAAAAAATGCGCTATTGGGGAAGTTATTATCATTGGAAGGATGAGGATGGATATAATTATATTTCATTGCATGCATGTATGTAAATAAAAATTAAAACCAGAAAAACAACAACAACCAGGGTCTGGAGAGATGGTGCAGCAATTAAAAACTCACTATTTTCTTCCAGAGAACCTGAGTTCAGTACCACCAACTCCAGGGGATCTGCTGTTCTTCTGGCCTCTGCAGGCACCCACACTCACATAGCATATATCACATAAACATACTTACCTACACATAAATAAATAAAAGGGTATGGCTAGGTGGTAGGACCACCCATGCGCAAGGCCTTAGAGTCAGTCTTCATCAAGAAAAAAAAATCCCCACACATAGTGCAGACTTGTTACATAGTAGCTTTGCCGCTTGGAAGCTAAGCTTCAGTGGTTACATTGAGGCAAAAAAGATAACTTCTGGTGTATTCTTCATCCCTTCCCTCCCATCATCACTCCCAGAAACCCCTGTGCATCCAGGGCTCTTCTGCTCAACAGAGCTTGCATAGCATGTAAGAAACCAAAAGCCTGGAGAAATGGTGCAGTGGTTAAGAGCACCAGCTGCTGTTCCAGAGGATCTGGGTTCAATTCCCAGCACCCACATGGCAGCTCACAACTGCCTTTGCACAGGCATACATGCAGACAAAAATGTCAGGGCGCTTAAAAAATAAATCTAAAAAATAAGCCCTTTTTAAAAAAAGAAACTGAAAGTCTGCACTAATGATAGGTTATTGGGATAGATTATATCGCTCAATGGTCCCTCTTTCTAGCATCCACAGACAGCCTTGACCTGAACAGGGCATTGTTTGGCTCCCCAAAGCAACAAATATATAGAGTTTACAAATAAATGTCAAAAAACAATAAATGTGTTCTGGAGCTGGTGAAATGACTCTCTGTTTAACAGCACTGACTGCTCTTACACAGGATCCATTTCGGTTCACAGCACCCACACAGTGACTCACGACCACCTGTAACTCCAATTCTTGAGGATCTGTGGCTCTGTGCACATACATACATGCATGCATGCATGCATACATATATACAGGGAAAACATACATATACATGAGATAAAATTATTTTTATATTAAAATAAAAACACATGCCTCTAATCCCAGCACTTGGGAGACAAAGGCAGAAGGATTGTGTGTCTAAGGTTTATCTGATCTGAAGGTTCTGAATCATGAATGTAGTGTTATTGAAGAAGCTTCCTTACTTTGTAAAGCCATCATGTGCTTGCTGGATTATAAGACCATGAGAGCAGGTATCTTCACTCCTCTCAGAAGCCCTAACATTGATTTCTCTCAGTCCATACTTGATATTGTCCAAGTCAGTTACTGAGTAACCAAAATGGTGTCAGAGAAGGAGATAGCTAGTTGAATGACTGTACTCCTAGAATTCAGGTATCATGGCTGACTCGGATCTTATTCCCTGTATGTTTAAGCTTATAAAGATCTTCAGACCAGGGAAGACATACGGAACGCAGCATGGCACAAGCATGGCTGGGAGGAACTGGTGTACTACACGGGTAAGCTGCTAAGGACTTTACAGCTCCCTGCTTTGAGTGTACATTGTTTAAAACGCAGGTGTGATGGTAAGGGTGTGACGATAAGGTTGACAAGACATAAGATAAGACCGATTTTTTCTCTTTAAATCCTAATTTGAAAGCTGGGCATTGGTGGCACACGCCTTTAGTCCCAGCACTCGGGAGGCAAGGGCAGGCAGATGTCTGTGAGTTCAAGGCCAGCCTGGTCTACAGAGGGAGTTCCTAAAGCCACAGAGAAACCCTGTCTTGAAGGAAAAAAAATCCTAACTTGACTTTGTTTCAAATTAAGAATCTTGATTCTTTAACCCAGCCGGGTGGCAAATGACTATAATTCCAGCTCTTTGGAAAGTTGATATATGAGGATTAAAAGTGAAGGACCAGCCAAGGCTACAGAGTTAGACCCTGTCTGAAGAAAAGCAGAGAAGGCACTGGAGAGATGGTCCAACATATGTGTACTGGCTGCCCTTCCAGCGGACCCTCATGGTGGCTCTCAACCACCTGGGACTCGTAGTCTAGGGAGGCCAATGCCTTTTTCTGGCCCCTATGAGCACAACGCATCTACACATGCATGCAGATAAAATACCCATACATTCATGACTAATAAGTAAAATTATTTTTAAAACAAAAGGCAGACAAAATAATTATAATAATACTGATTCTTTCAACTATTATATTGACTTGTAGAGTTTTCAGACATGTGGGTAGCTTAATTTTTTTATTTATGTTATTCCCTTGCTGTCCTGGCACTCACTGTATAGGACAGGTTGTCCTGGAACCCACAGAAATCCACCTGCCTCTGCTTTCCAAGTGCTAGCAATCAAAGGCATGTACCACCATGCTGGACTAGCTTACTTTTTAAAAATATTGTGTTTTAGTTTCTTTGTTCTCTAAAAATTACAGTTTTTCTAAACTTTTTTCATTAAAACCATCATTTCTCCAAAATAATCCATCAATTAAAAAGAATATATTTGCGGGGCTGGAGAGATGGCTCAGAGGTTAAGAGCACTGACTGCTCTTCCAGAGGTCCTGAGTTCAATTCCCAGCACCCACATGGTGGCTCACAACCATCTGTTATGAGATCTGGTGCCCTCTGCTGGTGTGCAGATATACATGGAAGCAGAGTGTTGTATACATAATAAATAAATAAAATCTTTAAAAAAAAAAAGAATATATTTGCAAACAGGCATGGTGGCACACAAATTTGGACATCTATGGCTAAAAGGATGCTCCAAGATGGACTGAGCTATAGAGTAACAAATAGCAGCAATAATAATAATGAAAGTAATAATAACTTTGGGGCTGGGGATATGGCTCAACCCTGGGTTTGATCCACAGCACTAAAAATCAAGAGTAATTATAAAGTTAATTTTTGTTTGGTTGGTTGTTTTCCCAGACAAGGTCTCACTATATAGCTGTGCTATCCTGGAACTCACTGGCTGGCCTGGAACTCACAGATTGGCATAAAGTTCAATTTGATGGGTATTTAAACTACATACTTACTAAAAAGATGACAGCCACCTATGAAGTAGAAATAGTTTGTCTTTTAGTTTTAAAAAAAAAGTATCACACAATTAAGCCAAGGCCTGTGCCAGGAAGTGCAGGTAGGAAAGAAAGACCCAGTTAAAGGTCTTCCTTGGCTACATAGAAAGTGGAGGCCAGTCACAGAAGAAACAAAATCCTGTAATTATATGTAATTTTGTGTTTTATTCTCCTATTGTTTTGATATACTCTCTCTCTGCATCAAACTTGGCCACAAACTTGAGGGGGGCGTCTTCCTGCCTTAGCTTCCCACACACACTGGGATTATAGGTGTGAGCCACCATGCCTATTTGTAATTTTCACTTAACACTTCTCATCAGTTTCCAGAAATGGGTCTTAGTCCATAGAAGTCATTTTTATAATCTTTTTTTTTTCCAGACAGGGTTTCTCTGTGTAACAGCCCTGGATGTCCTGGAACTCACTCTGTAGACCAGGCTGGCCTCAAACTCACAGAGATCTGCCTGCCTCTGCCTCTTGAGTGCTGGGATTAAAGGCGTGTGCCACCAATGCTCAGCAGTTCTTACAAGTTTTTTAAATGAAAAAATAATTATTTTACATTTATTTCCCTGTGTGTTATTGTTATGCTGGGGGAACTCCCACAGAGGACACATGTGGGAGTCAGTTCTCTCCTTCCACCATGTTAGCTCCAGGGATTGAACGAAGGTCTTCAGGCTTGGTGACAGGTGCCTTTACCCACTGAGCCAGTATTATTTAGATCCAGTACTATTTGGATTTTTGTCTGTCTGTCTGTCTGTTTTAGTTTAAAGAACCTTTTGAGAAATCGCTATTTTCACAACCAAGACTTTCCTAATTTCCCATAAGGTAGTGAAAGGGGTAAACTAAACTAGAAGGCTTCACTTCTAGGAATGAAGGGACCAGACCCTCCCTCAGCCCCTGCTTTAGCAGCCATAACAGGCTACAGAAAAGACATGTAGACTGTAACACAAGGAAACTCCAGATCCTCTGACCTCCCTGAGTCTAGGGCCAAAACTGAACACAAAGAAACTCCAGACCCCACCACCACCACCACCACCACCACCCTCACCCACCCACCCCCGCTAGCCTCCTAGGTACTTGGTTCCTGGGAACTGTTTGGCCACAAAAGAAACTCCAGGGAAGACCAAAACCTCCCCTATAGTCTCCAGGATACAGTTTTGAAAACTATTGGTGTCTATGAACAACAGGCCACCTTCAAGTAACAAGACAAAGCCATAGAGACCACAGAATGTTCCCTCTCAGCACTGACCAATGAGCAACACCTGGTACACAGGTATTTTATGCCAAAATATGACTTTGAGAAATTTTCCTGATTTTTCCCAAATGTCAACCAATCAGAAACCAACCCGTACCTACTGATGTAATCCTGTAACTTTTGTCTTTAAAACCTAGCTGTAGGCAGGAACTTCACCCCCTCTGGAGGCTTCTGTGTCAGCTTGCTAGACGGGGTCCCTCCTGAGATAGGCTAGACGATTTAATAAACCTCGTGCATTTGCATCAGTGGTCTGTCTCCCTGGTCTCTTTGGGGATCCTTGTGACTCGGGCACAACAGTAGCTCTCCCAGTGGACTTTCAGGTTCAGTGACACCCTAGTTGGTGCTGTCACCGATTTCTGCCCGGGTTTCTAACCAGTCCATTTCCTAGCACTCCCCTGCTTTCTGACAGCATGTGTTTCTGGTCTGAGCAGTTAACATGCCTTTGCCCTGTGTGTTTGAAAAGGCCATCGAAGTAACTTCTGCCTTGTTTTCAGTCCCGCTCATCCAGGAAATGGAGTCCAGAATCATGATCCCGCTCAAGACCTCACCCCTCCAGTGAAGCTTCCATGTGCCTACACGGATTTCTGTGACGAATATATGTCATGAATTCATTTCAGTCACTCATCAAGTGAAAAAAGAAACTGAGGTGTAAGCTGCTGTACATAGCTTATAAGATCTCTTTTCTTTAAAATTTAAAACCACCAAGGGAAATCCGGGGATTGAACTACGTAGGGCATCGATCTGCCTCATCTCTGCTTACCAAACATTACTTAAGCCTCTAGCCCTTCAGGAAAACATGATAATTCAAAGCCGGGTGTGGTAGCTTAGCACTCAGGGAGCTGAGGCAGGAGAATTACAGTAAGTCCTAGGTTAGTCTGGGCTACATAGAGAGTTTCATCTTGGACCCCTAGGCTTGCATAGTGAGACCCTGTCTCAAAAACCAAAATTAAAATTTGAATCATCTGAGTGAAATTCCAGCTCTGAAAAGAATTAGCTATTGCTTTCTATTTTTAAAAAATCTGTTTTACGTTTACAGATCTCTACACATTTTCTTCCTTCAGGAAGAAATGCAAATCACGTCATGTTTCCCAAGCAGTTTTTCTGTGTCTCAGACTAGGAACAAATTTTGAGTGTACCCAATGGCTGGGAATACTCTGATTTTGTGACTTCTGGTCAGTCAGCAGGGCTGAGCAGTGCTTCACCCTGAGCTGAAAGGGTGGTCACAGTGCCCCGACCAGAAATGCAGGCTCCATCCACGAGGCACTGTGTCCTAAAGGGTTGGTATGAACCAGTGCACCACACGAGATTTGGGAATAAACACCTCAAATAGCTCTAATTTTGTTTGTAATATTTTTCTATAAAACAAGTAGCTCTTGGAAAAGAGGTTTTATTTTGTAAGCCACCGTTTGTGACCTCTGACCTCTGGTTCTATTTTGGTAAGCTCACAGAAGACACTTCCATGACCTCGTATGAAGGGCAGTGCACGCTGGGTCTGAGTTGGCATAGTGCTTCATATTTTGTCTGTCTCCGTTTGGTTTTGTTTTTTAATATAGTGTGCCAATTTGTGAGTGTCATCATGTGGGAGTCCCCTTGACCTGAAGAATTATGTCTGCCCTGCAAATTGATACATGTAAAATAAAGTATGACTAAATCTCCTAGCAGAGGCCTAATTTTTACATGCGAATGATTTTCTTCAAGAACATATAAGAGTAAATAAAATCCTCTTAATTTTCACATTTTGCATGATTGAAACCTTTTTCAGTTTGTTTGTTTTATCGTTGTTGTTTCAGGACAGGGTTTCTCTGTGTAACAGCACTGGCTGTCCTGGAACTTCCTCTGTAGACCAGTCTGGCCTTGAACTCACAGAGCTGCCTGCCTCTGCCTCCTAAATGCTGGTACTAAAGGTGTGCGCTATCACGCCCAACTGTGTGTGTCTCTAGTTGGTTTGGTGTGGGGTTTTTTTTGAAACAGAGTCTCACTCTATAGCCCATGCTGGCCCAGAACCTTCAGAATCCTCTGGTCTTTCCTTCCCCAAGTGCTGGGATTATATACATGAGCCACCACACCCTAAAAACAAACAAATGAATGGAAAAAAAAAAAAACAACTAAATTTTGCACCAGCAATCCCTCTCTCTCATCTCAGAATGAGGAAAATCTGCTGTCTTCCTCTTTGGGCTTTTGTGAAAATTACAATTTTTACATTTTTTTGTAACTCATTGTAATTACACCTGTGTGTGTGTGAGGGGGAGAGGGGGAAGGGGAGAGAGTTCATAGGTATACAGCCTGTGGAGTTCAGAAGATAGCTTTTGGAGTTGGTCCTCTCCGTCCACCTTGTGGGTCCCAGAGATTAAATTCAGGTTATGATGTGTGGCAGTGTCTGCCTTTTCCCACTGAGCCTTCTCACTGGTCTGGTTGTTTTGAGACAGGGTCATACTATACTTCCGGTTGGCTCTTACATGCGAATGATTCGCATGTAAATCATTAGCATGTAAATCACAGACTCCTGAGTGCCAGGATTACAGGTGTGTGCCAACAGGTCCAGCTGTGTTTTTGCTTTTAAGAAAATGAAGAAGCCTGGCAGTGGTGATGCATGCCTTTAATCCCAGCACTTGGGAGGCAGAGGTAGGCAGAACTCTGGAAGTTTGAGGCCAGCCTGGACTACAAAGTGAGTTCCAAGATGCCCAGGGTTACACAAAGAAAACAGAAACCCTGTCACGGAAAAAAAAAAAAACAAAAAAACCAAACAGCTGAGGATGCACCTCACTTGATAGTGTTGGTATGCACAAGCTCTACTAGGTTCAATCGATCCCCAGCACCATACATGTATTCATATCTACTGGGCACAATGGCACATACTGAAATCCCAGTCTGTATGAGGTGGAAGCAGGAGGAGCACCAGGGGTTCAAGGTCATCCTCAGTTATACAATAGTTTGAGGCCATCTTGAGCTACATGAAACCCTGTCTCCAAAAAAGACAAAATAAAACCACAGGCATGACCTGGCTCCTGCCATGCTCCACTCGGCCCCATTCTCTGGGTAAACTGCTATTCTGATGACTGTGTATACTTTCCTCCTCTGCATCACAGGGAGGGAGACCCCCAGCCCAGCAGCAGCGAGTGAGATTTCAGAAATTCCAAGAGCCACTGTAGTGGTGGCAGAGATAGGATGGCTTTTTGCCTCTATAGCCCTCAGAATCTTCTTTCTTTGCTTTTTATTTCCCCACCCCCAGACAGGGTAGCCCCAGCTGTCCTGGAACAGGCTAACATCAAACTCGAAGAGAACTGCATGCCACTGCCTCCCGGGCGCAGGAATTTTACCTTAGGTGTGCACCACCACGGCCTGGCAGTGAGTGATCTGTCCACAGGTCACATGAGTTCTGTTCACATCCTCCAACGTGTTTTCCCATCTCTCCTTGTGCAGTTCCTACAACCCTGAGGTCAGCAGTATCTGTCTTCAACAGATTTGCTCACTAGTTAATGCCTGCCACCAGGTCACACCCATAGCTGAAACTGTTTCCATAGCATTCTGTATCTACTGCGTTACCAAAGTTAACAATTGACCTAAACCAGGTGTTTCCACCTTCCTACTACTTATTAACACTGACCACAGCATTAACACAACAGGCGGGGTGGTGGTGGCACACGCCTTTAATCCCAGCACTTGGGAGGTGAGTTTGAGACCAGCCTGGTCTACAAGAGCTAGTTCCAGGACAGGCTCTAGAACCGCAGAGAAACCCTGTCTCGAAAAACCAAGAACAAACAAACAAACATTAACACAAGAGATGAGATCTTACTCCCTAAGGTTCTAACTTGTGAAAACCAGTGCTAGGCTGACAGGCCTGTGCAGCCACACCTGGTGTTCTGGGGTGCTTGGGATGGACCCCTAGGACCTCCTGCATGCTAGCAAGCACTCACTCTACCAACTGAGCTCTTCCAACTATTTTCCCTTTTAAAAAAATGAATATCCATCTGTGTGAGTCTGTTTATGAGTGCACATGTGGTAGTATGCATGAGGCCAGAGGACAACTTGGAAGAGTCTGTTCCTTCCTTCCATGTGGATCTCTGGGATCAAACTTAGCTTGTCAGGCTTGGCAGCAAGTGCCTTAACCCAATGAGCCAACCCAATAACCCAATAACCCAGCTCAAGTGCTGGGATTAAAGGAGTACACTGCCACCACCTGGCCCATTCCTCCTTTTTAAGATTTTTTTGTGCTTGTATATGTGTGCCTGAGTGTAGGTATGTGGACTGTGTATATGCAGGTGCCCTCAGAGGCCAGAAGAGACCATTAGATCCCTGAACTGGAGTTCCAGGGGTAAGCCACCCCAAGTGGATGCTATGAACCAGGTCATCTTCAAGTGTAGGGGAAGCTGTAGCCACGCCTTCTTAGGGGCTGGCTACAGGAGTACCTAAGGGCTTGTGAGGGCGTGGTCAGAGTGAGTAGGGGGACTGCGAACAGACTACCACCGGCTGGCTGTATTCAAGAGCAGTAAATACCCTTAACTAAACCTTCTCTCTAGTAGCCCCCCCAAAAAAGTTTATTAGTTTTGTGTGCATGCGCTTGTGTGTGTGTGTGTGTGTGTGTGTGTGTGTGTGTGTGCATGTGTTTATTAGTTTTGTGTGCATGCGTGCTCAAAGAAATCAGAGAGTCATCAACCTTCACAATAGTCACAAACAACATAAAAATATCTGTGTTAACTCTAACCAAACAAGTGAAAGATCTGTAAGAAAAGAACTTTACATCTTTAATCAAATAAATTGAAGAAATTAGAAAATGGAAAGATCTCCCATGCTCTTGGATAGGTAGGATCACC